GGCAGGTGAGGGGCACTGATAGACTCTCGGGGCTGGGCTCGCAGGGGGCTGCAGGTTGGGAGTGAGGGGAACCAGCAGAGCTGGGGGTGCAGCTCAGGGTTGGTCTCTGCTCTCTATGGGTCCCACTTCCATCCCTCCCTATCCCCTGCAGAGTCCCTGTCCCAGCCACCTGGATTTACCCTGGCGGTGCCGCAATCGGTGTCCGTGCAGGAGGGTCTCTGCATTCTCATCCCCTGCAACTTCACGTACCCAGCCTCGTACGACACCGACAATCCCTCGGACGAGCTATACGGACAATGGTACAGGGAGCCTGCTATTATGGGCCAGGATCCGCCTGTGGCCAGCAGTCTCCCCAGCGGGGGGGTGTCGCAGGAGACCCAGGGCGGGTTCCGGCTGATGGGGGATCCAGCGCTCGGCGACTGCTCCCTGCAAATCAGTGATGCCCGACGGAGGGATGCAGGGAGATATTTCCTTTACATCGAGAAAGGCATGTTAGATCACACTTACCGCTCCAATTCCGATGGCACTGCCCCTGCGCTCACGATCTCCGTGCCAGGTAAGAGCAGCCGCAGTCATCGCTTGTGAGGGTTCCCCCCACTCTGAACTCTGGGGTACAGATGTGGGGACCCGCAGGAAAGACCCTTAAGCTTATATTCTACCAGCTTAGGTTAAAAACTTCCCCAAGACACAAATTCCTTCCCTTGTCCTTGGACGGTATTGCTGCCACCACCACGTGATTTATAGAAAAATTCAGGGCAGGGTAACTTGGAATCCCTATCCCCCAAATATCCCCCCAAGCCCCTTCACCCCCTTTCCTGTGGAGCCTTGAGAATAATATACCAACCAATTGGTTAGCAATGTGAGCACAGACCAGACTCTTTGTCTTCAGGCCACTGAAAATCAATCAGGTTATTAAAAGAAGATCTTTATTTATATATATGGAAAAAAATAATCACAGCTGCAAAATCTGTTCTGCAGGTAACTTCACAGGGTAAATAAAAGATTTCAAACACAGACGATTCCCCTCTGGCTCAGCTTCACAGTTACAAAACCAGGAATCAAACTACATCTGTAGCATAGGAAAATTCACAAGCTAAAACAAAAGATAACCAACGCCTTTCCTTGCCTACTTACAATTTCTGTGGGTTTAAATCTTTTATTCCAGATATATTTTCAGGAGATGTTGTACCTGCTCGGTCCCTCCCTCCGTCCAGAGAGGGAACAACAGAGACAGCAATAAACAAATCCTCCCCCCACCCCCACAGATTTGAAAGTATCTTCTTTCCTCATTGGTACTTCTGATAAGGTGCCAACTAGGTTCTTTGAGCGGATTAATCCCTTACAGGGAAGGTGATTTAGTACAGCTGCCAAAGAGGGATTTTATGCTACTGCATACAGAAAGTTGTTACTCTTCCCTCTATATTTATGACACTGCTCATCAGCCCCCCTGAGCCAGCCAGTCCCCGTCCTGGGGCCAGGTCAGAGCTGGCGCCCCTGAAGGGCAAATGCCCCATGTCCCTGAGTGATTCTCTTCCCTCTCCCCATGTCTCAGAGCTGACGGAGGAGCCAGAGATCCAGTTCTCACCGGCGTGGGGGATGCCAGGGATGCTGCTGGCCGGGGAGCCAGTAACTGTGACCTGCACGGCCCCCGGGCGCTGCTCCAGGACCCCTCCCCGAGTTACCTGGATGGGGCCATTCAGCAACACAGCCCGGGGCGTCTCAGCCCAGCTGCCAAACGGCACCTGGGCCCACAGCTCCGAGCTCACCATCACACCCGGCCTCGGGGACCACGGCAAAGAGCTGGTCTGCAACGTCACCTACCACCCACCACAAGGACCTTCCACCAGCAGAACCATCCAGCTCCACGTTGACTGTGAGTGACCCACCCAGTCCCTCCATACTGGCCCTCAGCCCCCTCTGCTGGGTTCCTCACCCCTGGGCTCCCCAGCCCTGCCGGCCAGCCCCTCCCCGAACTCTGCCCTGTCCTGGGATCCCTACCCCCCACCATGCACCCTCAGCCAATTCTACTCCAGGCCTCTTCCCTCCACACACTGCAGCCCCTTCTCCCTTGGGATCTTCCCCCTTCCTGCCCCCCTTGGCTATGGCTCCCCTCTCTACCGCTGACCTGCTCTGCCCCAGAATCCTCTTGTCCTGGGATCCACCCACATCCCCATTCCAGTCCCCCCTTGCAGGGATTCCCCCCTCTCAGAACAGCCACCCCAGTTCCCCCTGAGATCCCCCCAGGCTGTCCCACCACGTCTCCTCCATCCCCTCCCCTTTCTGCCGGGATCGGTGGATGCTCTATATGGGGCAGAGTGTTAATGGGACCTAGTCGCTGTCCGGCACTAAACACGCTCCGGGCTCAGTGCCCAGAGACCTCGGCCCGCCCTGCCCCAGGGCAACCCCCCATTAAACGACCCTTCCCCGCCCACGGGTCTTGTGTCACTTCAGAGACTTTCCCGTCCCCCAGCTGAGTTCACAGTGAGGGTCCATGACTAGGCTCAGTGATCACTAGTGACCCCCCCCCCGGTGCTGTCCAGCCCCCCTGATTCCCCCTGTCTGGTTTGTGTTACAGACCCACCCAGGCCCCCCAACATCACCGGAACCCTGACCAGGAATGGACGCCCCGGTGAGAGGCCGCGCTGCGAGCCCCGGGAATCAGCAACCGCCTCCTAGTCACGCTCTGCCCGCGCTCAGGTCCAGGCGCCAGGCTCAGTCAGGCCAGGCTGCTTCATGCCCAGAGGGGAGAGCCCGAGGGATGCCAAAGGACTGTGGGGAGGGTGGTGCGGGGAGTGGGCCCGGTTCCCTCTGTGTCCAGACCCCGGGGTGGCACTAGAGGGCGCTGGGGAGTGGGGATGAGATGGGTCAGGGACCGATCTCTGCGACAGAGACCTGCTGCCATGGAGAGTCAGTAGGGTTGTGCTCCAACCCCAGACCTGGGTACGTCTCCACACTGGGCGAGGGCTTCTCATGTAAACAGCCCCCGTTTCCCACCCCAAAGGTGTCTGAACCTCGGTTCCTTGGCAGAGGATCTCTGGGGGGGCCGAACAGGCCTGCTCGTCTCCTCCAGTGCCAGATGTGTGGGGAGCTGAGGGCGATGTTGTGTCTCTGGAGACCCAGGAGGGCGACTCCCTGAGTCTGAGCTGTGAGGCTGGGAGCAGAGTTGACGCCAACCTGAGCTGGGCCAAGGAGAATGAGTCCCTGAGCCCCAGCCAGGGAGGGGCCGGGCGCCTGGAGCTGCCGAATCTCAGCGGAGGGAACGCAGGGGAGTATTGGTGCTGGGCGAAGAATTCCTATGGATCGGCCAGCCGGGCCCTGCGTGTGCACGTGCAGTGTAAGGCTCTAGGGGGCGCTGTGCTGCAGGCAGTGTGGCAGAGGGTCAGTGGGGGGCGCTCTCCAATCTAACATGTTGCCGTGGGTATTTCAGCTCCAGTGAGGACTCTGCAAATCACCATCTCCAGAGCTAACAGGAGCAACCCCCAGCTATTCCAATGTATCGCTAGGGGGTGAGGAGTGGGGAATGGGGCCTTTCCTCTCTAGTCGAGGCTGGCCCGATCCGGCCCCCGGGCAGAAACTGGTTGGCTCAGGGTGCGAGTGGTTTCTTGTTATTCCTGTTCCCAGATCCCGGCATCCTAGTGGCCAACGGTTCACAGCTCACGACCTGAGAGGGCGACTCCCTGCAGTTCCTCTGCTCCCTCACCAGCAGCCAGGCTGAACTTATCCTGCCAGCGCCAGGGGCTCAGCATCAGCTGCAGCTGCTCCCTGCGCTCCCACCCCCCACCCCAGCTCCAGTGGCAGGTGGACGGGGAGCCCCTGGCTGGGAACGGCTCACAGGGGGCCCTGCAGGTCAGCTCGTGGGACCAGGGGGATGAGACTGTAAGAAAAGTCTAGGGGACAATTTTCTGGTGCAAGTGCTGGAGGAACCAGCTAGGGGGAGAGCTCTTCTAGACCTGCTGCTCACGAACCAGGAAGAATTAGTAGGAGAAGCAAAAGTGGATGGGAACCTGGAAGGCAGTGACCATGAGATGGTCGAGTTCAGGATCCTGACACAAGGAAGAAAGGAGAGCAGCAGAATACGGACCCTGGACTTCAGAAAAGCAGACTTTGACTCCCTGAGGGAACTGATGGGCAGGATCCCCTGGGAGCATAACATGAACGGGAAAGGGGTCCAGGAGAGCTGGCTGTATTTTAAAGAATCCTTATTGAGGTGCAGGAACAAACCATCCCGATGTGTAGAAAGAATAGTAAATATGGCAGGCGACCAGCTTGGCTAAACAGTGAAATCCTTGCTAATCTTAAACACAAAAAAGAAGATTTGACAAATGACCAGAGAGGAGTAAAAAATGTTGCTCAGGCATTCAGGAGTGAAATCAGGAAGACCGAATCACACCTGGAGTTGCAGGTACAAGAGATGTTAAGAGTAAGAAGAAGGGTTTCTTCAGGTGTGTTAGCAACAAGAAGAAATTCAAGGAAAGTGTGGGCCCCTTACTGAATGAGGGAGGCAACCTAGTGACACAGGATGTGGAAAAAGCTAATGAACTCAATGCTTTTTTGCCTCTGTCTTCACGAACAAGGTGAGCTCCCAGACGGCTACACTGGGCAGCACAGCATGGGGAGGAGGTGACCAGCCCTCTGAGGAGAAAGAAGTGGTTCGGGACTATTTAGAAAAGCTGGACGAGCACAAGTCCATGAGGCTGGATGCGCTGCATCCGAGGGTGTTAAAGGAGTTGGCGGATGTGATTGCAGAGCCGTTGGCCATTATCTTTGAAAATTCATGGCGATCGGGGGAGGTCCCGGATGACTGGAAAGAGGCTAATGTAGTGCCCATCTTTAAAAAAGGGAAGAAGGAGGATCCGGGGAACTACAGGCCAGTCATCCTCACCTCAGTCCCTGGAAAAATCATGGAACAGGTCCTCAAGGAATCAATTCTGAAGCACTTAGAGGAGAGGAATGTGATCAGGAACAGTCAGCATGGATTCACCAAGGGCAAATCATACCTGACTAACCTAACTTCTTTCTACGACGAGATAACTGGCTCTGAGGATGAGGGGAAAGCAGTGAATGTGTTATTCCTGGACTTTAGCAAAGCTTTTGATACGGTCTCCCACAGTATTCTTGCCGCCAAGTTAAAGAAGTATGGGCTGGATGAATGGACTATAAAGATAGAAAGCTGGCTAGATTGTCGGGCTCAATGGGTAGTGATCAATGGCTCCATGTCTAGTTGGCAGCCAGTATCAAGAGGAGTGCCCCAAGGGTCGGTCCTGGGTCCGGTTTTGTTCAATATCTTCATTAGGGATCTGGAGGATGGCGTGGACTGCACCCTCAGCAAGTTCGCAGATGATACTAAACTGGGAGGACTGGTAGATACGCTGGAGGGTAGGGATAGGATACAGAGGGACCTAGACAAATTGCAGGCTTGGGCTAAGAGTAATCTGATAACGTTCAACAAGGAGAAGTGCAGTGTCCTGCTCTTAAGATGGAAGAATCCCATACACTACTACAGTCTAGGGACCGAGTGGCTCTAGGCAGCAGTTCTTCAGAAAAGGACCCGGGGGGTTACAGTGGATGAGAAGCTGGATATGAGTCGACAGTGTGCCCTTGTTGCCAAGAAGGCTAATGGCATTTTGCGCTGTATAAGTAGGGGCAGCAGGCTCCGCTCTCTACCCTAACTTGCCCTGCCCCCCAAATCCTCCTCTGCTGCCATCCACACTCCTCATTACAATCCCCCCTTGTTGGGATTTCTCCTTACACCAGACACCTCGGTTCCCCCTGAGATCCCCCCAGGCTGTCCCACCATTTCTCCTCCACCCCCTCCCCTTTCTGCCGGGATCGGTGGATGCTCTATATGGGGCAGAGTGTTAATGGGACCCTGTCAATGTCTGGCACTAAACATGCTCCAGGATCAGTGTCCAGAGACCTCGGCCTGCCCTGCCCCAGGGCAACCCCCTGTTAAATGGCCTGTGACCCTCGCTCTGCAGATCCAGGGCAGAGGGAAAATCAGCGGCTGTCTTTGCAAGGTGAAGGATCAAATCAGGCATCACTGTAAGGACGGCCCTTGTTCCCTTCAGCCGGAGGGAGATTTAGAAGGAACCTGCCCCTCAGTCCCCCGCCCGTGTCTGAGACCAGGCCCCAGCCAGACCCCGAACGTCTACATAGACTTTGGAGGAAACGTCTGCGCTGCAATCAAAGACCCACAGCCCAGGGGAACGGACCCAGGCTCTGAGCCTCAATGCTGCAGGGCTTTGAGGGCAGTGTGGACGGACCCTGCCAGGCCTGGTCAGCCAGTATCAGTGTCTGGCTGTTCTGGGTGTTTCTTTTAGCCACCTCACTGGGTGCAGCCGGGCTGCAAAATATTCAAGCCTGGCCAGCTAAGCTAGAGGGCAAAAGGAGAGGGCTGGGGAGAGATGAACCGCGGGGGGAAGGGAGCCAGCCGTTTGCATCGGCCTCGGCAGCTCCTCCTCCCCTGCAGCCCAGCGCCCCGCTCCGGCAGCACTGTGCAGGGGCAGGGACCGGGTTGTGTGTTGCGCTGGGGAGCGCAGCCACGTGTCCGGCTCCGCACAGAGCCCAACACCATGTTCTGAGCGGCAGGGTAAGGGGGCCAGGGGGCAGGAGAAGATTTGGGGCAGTCAGGGTACAGGTAGGGGGTAG